TCATCAATCTTTTCCAATTTCAAGTTTAATCCTCTTATGAAATTTTGTCAAGCATTAAAAAAAAATAAAAAAAAACCATTGTGACAAAAACCAATAAGCCTGATCCTGGATAAGATTTCATATTCTGGAAATGTCTGACTTCAAATGAAGCTTGTGTTTACTCACGCTTGCTGACCCTGGCCTTATCGCGCCACTACATCCCAAGATTTCCGACGCTGGGAAGTTCAAGGCGAAGTCGCCTTTCTCTGTGAAATATCTAGGACAAGGTCTGATAAGCTAGAGACAACCTAGTACGGGCAAGCACGTCCCAAGGCCCAGAACAGGTCCTGCTTATGAAACGGCGCCGCTTGTCGTCGCGAAGCCAGAAATCTGACAGCCTTGTCAATACCGTAGTCAAACGAAAGGGGTTTTTTTGTAGAGAGAGAGACGCCTTATTTTATTTCTAGGATTTCTGTGAAATTTTTTAAGAACATGGGCTTGAGAAATGGTATAGGGGCTTAAAATTTCCCGATTGTCAAAGCCAGACGAAAGAAGCTCAGGTTTCGATAAAACCCTAGTCTGCTCTCAACTTGGTAGGCCCTACATCAATAATGTTGGATTTGTATGCACGTAGTGACTGTTAAGTGCCCATTGCATGGATTTTATAGGGTCCGTGTGCAGTGAATTTTTCTTAGGAACACGTTTTGTGCAACTCTCTACTCTTCTACATGAAATAAATATTAGACATCCCTTTTTGGTTAATTTATTGAAAAGTGCACTTCTTTCTTCATTTGGGGTGCTTTGGTCCAATGGTTACGGTGTTCGACTCGTGTGCCGTGGTACATGGGTTCGAATCCTGACCATGGGAACATGGTGCTTGTGCTCTTGAGCAAGGCACTTTACCATTATTGCTTCGTCCTTCGGATGGGACGTAAAGCCGTAGGTCCCGTGTGTTGTTTAATGCACGTTAAAGAACCCAGTAACACTAATCGCTAAGAGAAGGGGTTTGCCCCGGTGTTTCTGGCAGTGGCTGCAATATGCGCCGCAGCACCTTGTAAACCATTATAAGATACTACGGTACATAATGGGTCTCATATTTTCTCATAAACTTTATTTACCTTTCTTTAATAATAGACATAATTTGCGCCAGGAGTGTCATATTGACAGATATGGCGCGGTATGAAATGTTCACTATTAATTAGACATTGAAACATTTTCCATGCTTTTCCAAACAACTGAGGGCGCTGTTGCTGTGATGTCATTTCAGGAAGACATTGTTCAGTTAAGGGTTTTTCTGTTCAAATCATGAACCAAAAATTTGCTTATTGAAAATATTTGTCAGAAAAGTTTGCTCATTGGCTTACTGCCTTGTACTGACACAACAGCGAATCACCAAAGAAAAGACAGTTGATGATGGAGTGACCCAAAATTCTGGCAACTTTTTGATGCTGAAATAACTGTAACATTGAGGTTTCTGCCTGAAATGATGTCACACTTTTGATCATGAATATGGAAATTTGCATTAGTATAAAACCCCAAAAGGCACATCCATGTTTACGTTACATACCTAGTGTGGACATTCCTTTGTTTTCATGTAGTTCAGAAAAACCTGTGGAAAAAACTCATTTTACTCACACTGTGAAAACTCTTTGAAACCAATTTGTTTAATATGATTCCTTGTGTGTTTCTCTTCATTTTGCTTCCGATAAACCTAACCCCAAAATGCCTCTAAACCTGTTTTCCAGAGAGGGGGAAACACAGTGTGGACGCGGGCAAGTCCACACAACGTCGCTGCTACCTGGTTTATGTGGACATCTTTTGTTCGGAAGTCCACACAGTGAAAGTAATGCTTGTACCAAAATATCCTTGAAATCAAAACGAAAATTGAAAATATGGTTAAATGGGACACAAGGGTACATTTTCAAAGATTGCATTAAAAATTGCATTGCATGGGCCCTTTAAATAACCTTTTTACTTTGATACGCTTTAGCAGGTATTGTTTTCTATTTTTAATTATTCATGTAATAATATTTTGAGAATAAAATAGGCTGTCAAAAACAGGCCTTTTCCCCCGTGATACACATTACACATGTCACGTGTCAATGCCCTGAACTGAAGTTGTACCGTTGCAAATCCAATTTGGGTGCAACCGTACCACACTTATCCATGGGTGAACGACCAGCTCAAAGCAGAGGGTGAAATTGCGTACTGTCGGACAGCGACCATTTACCCACCATTTACCATGTTTGTCCGAAGTAATTGTGTACTTTAAATGAATTCTAATCACACGTGGCAGCTCAAATTAATTTGTGACCGGTCAATTTTGGCCAGCAGTTTTTTTGTCTCTTTTCATTCCATGGCAAAGTAGTACCGCACATATACACGAAATACCTTGCCTTTATTGTTATTATTATTATTAATCATTTCTGGTAATTAAACCATAGGATTCCTCAAAAGCGCCCTAGGCATTGTAGCTCACAAGCCTGAAGAAACCTGTGGAGAGGAGACAATGATAAGAAGTTACAGTCTTAGAGGTGGGAGGAAAACCCTAGAAGAATATTCTGGGGAAAACCCACGGAATCAGGCAGGGGCTGAAAACCCAATCCACATATTGGCCCAGGTGGGATTTGAACCCGGGTCACAGCGGTGGAAGGCGAGGAAAGTACCGCTACGCCAACCTGACTCCCTTTTTAAGGCAACTTTTTTTTTTCTGGCAGTTTTTGTTTGTCCTAGAGGGTCAGAGTATATAATCCTCTTTAAATTAATAAAGATTCATAATAGTGGATACTTATTTAGCACTATCTAAGATCAAGTGCTTTACATTATTATCCATGATCTGACATCGGGCGAGAGAAACATTTCAAAGACAATCTCAGCTCCCTGGGGAGTAAACAGCTCCATGCTGCCATTGTGGCACAAAACAGCTAATATCTGTCACGATAACCATCTCTGCCCTCACCCATTTACCCCTGGGTGGAGAGAAGCAACGAGTGAAAAGTGTCTTGCCCAAGGCTGGACTCGAGCCCACAACCTTCAGAATGCTGACGATTCACAATACAGTGTGCCACCAAGAGTTTACCACGGAGAGTCCATTATTCAAGTTTACGTTAGACTTGCCGCGACTTGGAACAAGTACCAGTAGACAACTTGAGGAATGTTTGATAGATCGGGGCATAGCATTCTGTCGCCTCACACAAAAACACCATGCATCTTGATAAAAATAAACGAAAAGAAAAAAGATAATCAAATCATATGATTACGAAACTACTGACTGCACAAGCTAACAATATTAAGTGTCCCATGTCATGACGAATGTGTGGACCGTCTCCCACAATGCACTGCGAAAAATGGACTGCGGAATGCTCTTGGTGGCGCACTGTATCGTGTATTACCCGCAGACTGTCCCTAACAGTCCTGAATCCTCCAATTTTATTACGATTTTGCATACCCCCTAGGGAGTTAGGGTTGATCCAGAAAGTTCTTAAATTGTGAACCCAAAATTTGCTCATTGAAAACATCTGTGAGAAAAGCGTGCTCATAGGCTTACAGTCATGTACTGACACAACCACGAATCACCAAAGAAAAGAAAATTTGTGACATCAAAATATCCTAAATTCTGGCAACTTGTGGTGCTGAAATACGGTAGCTGTAACATTGAGGTTTCTGCCCGGAATAACATGACACTTGAAATTTGCATTAACGGTCACCAAAATAGCCTTGAAAATGGCAAAACGAAAATTTGAAATAAGGTTAAATGGGACACAAAGGTGCATTTTCAAGGATTGCATTTAAAACAAATTACATTGCATAGTCCATATGGCGAACGCAAGCAGAATCTTTTAACTACGTGGCCTGCCGATTTGTTTTTCACCAGCGACACGACACACTCGTCCTTTGTGACAAACGATGTGTGATCAGCTTTAATTGGTTAATCAGTAACAACCATCCCTGAGTATGTGTCTAGGTACAAGTACATTAGGTCCCTGAAGTGTGTGGGACTCACTGTTCAGACGTACAGACACACAGTCACCTGTACATGTTGTGGCTATGAGTCATGCTGCACGGAGACATGAGTTTAATAACTCTGTGATTATGCATGCACCTCTAGCTCATCCTATAAATTTTGGGTCCAATGTGTGACATTTTTCCTGTCCCTGTTACCTTGTACTTTGTAATTTGCAATTCAAGTATCATTAAAAATGACGTCTGAGGATTTATTTATTTGTTGGGTAGGTAGTTTGCTATTCATAATAACTCTTGGAGGACGACTGCGTTAACCCTAACTCCTTGGGCATTTTTGCTTGGATGCAACCTCAATTCTGGAAAATCCTCCGACTGCCTCTTTGTAAAAATTGCATGCAGCCTCAATCCTCCAAACCATCTGCTGTTTCTGGCATGTGGTCCTTGGAGGGGTGACCACTGCCTCAATCCTGTAAAATCCCCCACCAATAACATTCAATGTATGTTGAGGCAGAGCCAGTGATATCCTGGAGCAGTGCTGAGGATTTCAAGTAGGCCTACATTTTACTAAATTTATGCAGGGCTAAGCATAAACAACACAAGGTGCGGCCTAAAACCTTAAATCAGCCACAAATTTTTGCCATATATAGCCTCAATCCTGCAAAATCCTCCATTTTGCAAAGAACATTTTTGAGGATTTGGAAAGGTTAGGGTTAATTAAGTATGATGTCCAAGGATTTCTTTATTTGTTGGATAGGTAGTTTGCTATTCATAATCGCTCTTGGAGGACGACTGCATTAAGGAGTGCATCAGAATTATACAATCATAGATGTCAGATGTAACAGGGACAGAAAACAAAGTGGATCCCAAATTTATAGAAGGACACTCCGATAGATACGTCGTGTTATTCAAAGGCAACTTGTCAAAATGATCTCAACGATTATCCCAAATTTACACTGTAATTTCATAATAAGATTTGGTTTGACATTTCGATTTTTAATTTCGACACATTTGATATTCATGGTTATTTTCTTTCTCTCATGACAATCTTGTTATCGCAGATGTCCAGACAGGAGAATGGTGCACATTCCCAGCAGCCCAGTCCTTCCAAACCCCCCAGCAGCCAATCAGAAAGCAGTATTCCAGAGGTCACAGGAGGTCAAACGCCGGAGGTCAGTCGCTTAGCAACTGACCCAAGTGAGATCATTTACGATGATGTGGTCAACCCAAGCGACCAGCCCGAGGATATATACGTTGTCTCCAGTGTCCAATTCCAACGCAGCACTCACGAAAATAATTCCAACAATAAGTCGGAGCTGGCTCACCCTCCGATTCCAGAGGAGGACATTTATGATGATGTCATACCCCCTAGTATGGCAGGGGTTCAAGTCCTCCAAGCCCAGTACGAAGGAACCGACAACCAACTTCCAGCGCAAGGCAATGCAAACGGCAACATAGATGCAAACGGGAACACAAAGCCGCGGAAAAGTCGGCCGACGAACTTGGAAATGCCGAGCAACTACCGAGAGGCTAGGGACCAGACTGTGAAACTGGCCGCCATCGTCGAGTCGCGGAAACAGCCAGACCCGCTCAGCTACGACGCCATGCTGTCGTACGCCACTGATAGCAACGCCACCGCGATCAAGCCGAGATTTGCATCCCCCCGGAGCGGCCAGAGGGATGATGGGAAGGACTCGTCGGATCCGACGATCTACGAAGTGACGTGCCTCGGCGAAGGACCCGGGAACGAGGGTCGGTCCAACGGAGGTGAGCGTGGGGAAAACCAAGGCTGGCATGAGAATGAAATTTACGAAGGTATGGTAATGTTGAGTTGTTGACTTGAAACTTGGTGTGTCTGTAAACAATCACCGGTCTGTCATCTTGGCTGTCTGCTTTCATCCTTCACTCATCTTCATACTGTCAGCATCTGTATGTATGCAACCTTTGAACCTTGACTTTTGACCCTTTGGTATGCAGCACATCATTAACACCCCCATACATATAAATGACATTTTTATAGCCCGCCACACACATGAGCTATCTGCTGAGCAAAAAGTCATTCATGGTCGTTTGCTAACCACGTATACATGTATAGCTCACAAAATGTGTGCGGTCAATTTTTGCTGCGTTTTCTGCTTCGTGAGGCAAATGTCCATCCTGTTTGATTTTTTTTGCCTTTCGAGGCGGAAAACTCACTGTGTGCAGGCAACCTGAGCCACGTGCTAAGCAAAAAAAAAATTAACTAGCCAAAGAAAGCACACATACTGTGTTCACGTGATTTCAAGATGGCGGCCCCCAGAAAGTGTCAGCGACGTTGTCAGCGGCTATATTTTAGAAGGCAAGCTGGTTGAATTTTTAAATCAGGTGACTGAACATTGTACAAACAAGGTCAATCTCGCCACAAATCAACCAGCTCGTCCTCTAAAATATAGTCGCTGACAACAAGGCCAAAAAACCCAAAGCAAAAACTGACCGCACACGGTGATATTTTCTGAGCTACGTGCTGAGCAAATGGCCACAAATGACTGTTTGCTCAGCAGATGCACCGTTATGTAATTCTTGTGTGCAGCGGGCTTTTGGAACATGCGTGCTGTAGTTAATTTTAAAGAGGTTGTGGAATGTTCGAAGACATTTCCGTCATTTTTCGGGTATATGTAGCCTAAGGTGTGATGAAATAAAAACGACTATTGTTTCTGTCATGAAATGAGTACAAAACGTACTTTTGAGAGCTGTTTTTCAGGTCCTGTTTCGACCCGAATGTGCAATTTGTGTAAAAGTCGTCGTTGGGGGCAGCAAACAAAACATGGTAAATCGTGACGTAATAAACAGGACTCGTTTATACTACGCTGCATCGGGAGTCCTGTTTATTACGTCACGATTTACTATGTTTTGTTTGCTGCCCCCAACGACGACTTTTACACAAATTGCACGTTCGGGTCGAAACAGGACCTGAAAAACGGCTCTCAAAAGTACCTTTTGCACTCATTTCATGACAGACACGATAGTCGTTTTTATTTCATCACACCTTAGGCTACATATACCCGAAAAATGACGGAAATGTCTTCGAGCATTCCACAACCTCTTTAACCCCCACCTAGGATTCTATACACTTCATTATACATGTATTTCTGGACACACAATCACATTACACTTATGAAGGCCTCCGGTAATGACAGAAGCACTGCACTTGATATTAAAGGGATGGGTAGACCTAAATCATTTGCAGCTATCCAAAAAGTAACTGACCAAATTCATGTTGAAAAGCTTACTTGGTTTAAAGATAGTAATGGCACTAAACTCCCTGTGAAATTAGTCTTTCTGGCATGCTGTCATTTTGAAGAAAACAATAAAAGAAGGTCATTTCCAAAGATGCGTCAAGTGACGCATTTTTGGAAATTTCCATTAGCAGTAGATTTGTAATTCGGCGAATATGAGAATGAGTGCGCGCAAGCGTTGACACAACGCACATGCGCGCGCAGTAGGTATTATTCATCCGTTCAGTGTGTTACATCGCATAGCTGCAATCGGCTGAATGAGAACATGTCACGGACACTGATTTGGTGCACTTCAAAACAAGACTCGGCAACGTTTGAATTGAAATCGAGATCCTAAAACATTGTCTTCTCGGAATATACGGTACATCATTCACTGAGCTAAAAATTCATCAGGTTAGTTGTTAAGCATCCGTCTTTAGATTTTGAGCACTTTTGTTGCTTCAAACGAAAAAAAAAATGCACAAATGACAAATGATCTACCCTACATGTAAACAGTAAAACACACCAGGGAGAATTTGCTGAAGCTGGCACTATGCTTGTGTCATTACCAGAAGGGGGAGGGGCGAGTTGTGAGTAAAAAGTGATTCTGTTCCCCAATAAGCCTCTGTACTGATGACGTCACACTTTGTTTACATACATGTGCACTTTCCCATGGAGCCAGTGTGATGTCACTGGGAGGGACATGATGCTCACGCGAAGACGCCATGGGTTTGGTGCATATTCAAAACAAAAACGAGTTGTGCGTGCTTCGCGCTTTACGCGCATGAATACGCACATGCACACAGTGTGTCCCCAGCTTTCAAAAGTGATAACAAAACACCATAATGTGTTTGTGCATGGAGTTCATAGTGTATGGTTTAGAAAATTTGAAAGCAGGTTGATGTTTGTTCAAAGTTTGAAGTTTATACCATTTACAATTTAGAGAAAAAGGTGTGGAGAGTCGTTGTCCGGTTAAAAAAAACACAACTTTAGAAGAAAAATTTGAACAATTTCAAAAAGGTGACCGGTTTGTACCAATCACCCAATGAATGAGACTTTACTTCCATCTTTATTCGTTTAGTTTGCACATATCAAAACATCATGCTAACTTGCTGAATAATAAGACTGAAAAACTTTCATCTGGGGCATGTTTTGGCGGCCATAACCAAAAATTGGTTCAGTTGTTTGTCATTGGTTGATAGTTTTTGAAACATGGTTGTGAAGTAAAAACAAGTGTAAATGCACTACCCAAGTGGCTAAAATTATAAACCAATGAGAAACATCGAACCAAGTTTTGGTTACGACAGCCAAAACATGCCCCTGGCAAAAAAGTGAGGGCTACATGTACGTACATTGTACATTGAACATGTATCCCAAAATGTCACGACAAAATTGAGATCACTGATGCCCCAAACTTTGGTTACATACCAAACAACTATAACAACTAACTTGTCTAACAAACAACTTGTTTAACTGATTTCATATTGTCTGTTTCTAGGGTATGAGGGTGAGTATGCCCAAGCTCACTCCCGTCTGTCGGCTCAGTTTGATGCCTTGGAATGCGACGCTGAGGAGAACGGTCCTTATGAAGATATGAATTTTGACGAGGGGGAACAAGGTTGGTCTAAAAATATTTTTGAAAAACCTCCTAACCCCACCACCCTCCTTTTTCCCCATAAAAACCCTAACCTTGCTCAATCCAACAGGATCAACTAAACACCCCCAAAAAAGAAAGACCACACTCATTGGAGGTGTCACAATTTTGAATCTGATCATCTTATGATGACGTCATTTAAATAGACCTTTCGGGAATGTTGTTAGCTACATTTTGATACCCCATTTGCTGTCAAAGACTGTCAATCAACTAACACTGACAATGGTTTATGAAGAATGATGCAGCTTGAAAAGTTGCAAATTGAAAGAGTACGTGAGTCGATTAGGAGTTGCTGTGTGATAATGTGACACTGCCCGAAACGATCGGCAGGGAATATCAATCGCACTGTTAAATGGGAACATGTGAAATTGAAGTTCCCACACTTTGCTCGGACATTGTGCAGTCGATAGGGGCCAATTAGGGCCACGTGTGTTGGCACTTACCAATTTCTCCTGGCGTATCTCTTAAATTGCAACTTTTCAAACTGCATGGTTTTTCATAAACCGTTGTCAATCTTGGACAAATTAATGTCTTTGGTAGCAAACGCGGTATCAAAATGTAGCTAACAACATTCCCCAAAGGCCTATAAACATGTAAATGACGTTATCATAAGACGATCAGATCCAAAATTATGACCCTTGCAATGAGTGTGGACTTTCTTTTTTTGCGGTGTTTCATTTCATTTAATTTCGAATTGGTTTATTATAAAGCATCATGAATCGCAGCCAAGGGCTGAATTGCACATGATTTACAATTTCGTTTTAACAGCTAAAATATTACAATAATACTATAGCATTACACTAAATATGATATGTTAACATGTTCCTGATAAAATTTACACAACACATCACAAGAAAACAATTAAAATATAATAAAATGAAAAGTTCCCCCAGTCTGTGAAAACTAAAACCCAATTTGCGTAAAAACAAACAGGCACATTATATTTATATATATGTTTATTTTACATATTGTATTAAATACCTTGTATCTATTCCTGTTGAAATCTGTTGGATTCAGCAGGCAACTGAAAACATTCAGAGTCAGATTCTGTTGGGTACTGGTAAATAATGCCAAGTTGGACTCTGTTGGATCCAGCAGCAAACAGAAAAATAAGGCACAGTTGGATTCTGTTGGATTGAGCATGCCAGTCATTTTATATGTTCAGGTACCAACAACTTAGCATGTTGGGTTGTGTGGGGCTGTGTTGGATTGAGCAGGAAACTCATTATGAGAAATCGTCGGACTCTGTTGGATTGAGTAGGGTAGTTCTGGGGAACTGTTAGTGTTAGGGGGTAAGATTAAGGCCAGTTCATTAGTGTACCGGTACCTCAAGCGAAATTCAACGGGGTTGAAATGTATTCAGCTTTTGCAAAATTACAGCACAAACAATTTGCCATGACATCACAGATTTGTATTTGCTTTCGCGCTTAGTATGAACCTGCTGTTAGTCTTTTGACAAGACCATCATGACTTTGGATTAGGAACAGAGCATCCAAAACGTTAGGCAGCTCCAGGAGAGATTACACAGTCCAGACTGAGTGACAAGTCGTGAGGCCTTTTGCATTTCAATCTGGCCGGGTCGCTTTTGAATTGTTCCTAAACTTTAGGCGAGAAATCAGCTATTGGGAGCATCAGGACTATTTTTTTTTTTTAAATACTCATTCAGCAGCCGTTGCGTCGCCATTATCGTACATGTACCGGGAAGTACTTGACCCAGTTTTTACCGCGTACCAGGGATCACGTTTCATGTCCATCTGAACCGTCGACTGTGATCGGCCATTGCGAGTTCAGCTTATTTGCATAAAAAATATGCTGAGAAATTATAAAGAATATTCATAACTTGTTTATACCTGAGACAATTTACCCATTCTTATTGGTCAATAGGGCGTCACGTGGGTGGTTTTAAGCCGCCGGTAAAACACCGCTTCGTTCTAGCCACATCACTCAGTACGTACCGAGTGCACAATCTCCTTATAAGGAGGTTGTTAGCACTATGCACATGGCCAGAGGGTTGTTTCACAAAATATGAAGTAAAATTGTTGAAGAAAATGGTTAGAATTTTGTCCATTTTTTACTTCGATGTATTTTGACTTTTTGACCGAAAAGTATTTATGAATGGGAACTAATCTTGGCTGGTTTTAAACACGTTCGTTTAAAACTGGCTAGGAGCCTGGTCACGGATAATGGCCAGAGCTGAACGCCCCTAGCAAGTATTAAACAGACTTGTTTAAAACAGGCCAAGTTCATATTTATTCTCTTATTTAAACATAAGAATTTTTGACCAAGTGCAAAAGGCCGTGTGACTTTGTCACTTGGTGTGTGTAGTCTCTACTCAATAGGATGGCTTCACATCTCAGTCAAATGCCTGCCCAAGTCACGGTAGCCTTGTATGAAGGCTACGGTACCTCCCCAGCCCCGCAACACCCCCGCAACATCAACTTCTCAAAGTTGAAAATGTTCTGTCATCTCCATCCTCGTAAAAATAACAAATTACAGATTCAAATATGCCCAAACATCCATTCTCCATTACAGTATGCAAAATATTGCCATGCTTGTTCTGGCCTTACTCCTGTGGGTACAACAAACATGCAAATAACATGCACTTTGAAATTCTGTTGGCATCCAATAAATATTTGTCTTCCAAGTTGATTACATAAAAACAACCAATTTAAACCCTACCAAAGGGACAAAAACATGAAAACAAACGTCATGGCAGTAAAAAAAAACATCTCCAACAAGATTACTTCAGGGCCCACTGTAAGAATAATTCATGGAAAATTCGCGTCTTGGGACGGCAGTGTAATCCGGTTAATCTACAAGCACCGTACCACCGGGACTCAAAACCATTTAGGTCAAATCCAAGCAGCTTAAGATAATAGATCGGCTAGATCCCCGGGAAATATTTTAATGGCACTGTGAATGCATAAATTGGACAGGCATTGGAAAATGTGCTTAGTTTTCAAACTATCAGCTCAAATTTTATCTTCCTTTTGACTGTATTTATTGTTAAGCTCAGTACTCAAACTGCTAACTTGGCGTTGAAAATTTAATGAAGAATTATAATTTAAACAACTCTAAGACAGTGATGAATGAATTGAATTGAATTGCCCAAACACATACATATAGGTGTAAAAAATTTATTAAAAGTGACGTGATAGATCAAAATACAATGTTTTGGGGCCGAGCACGAATGGATATTTTTGTGAAAATGAATGATTTTTTTGGTTGATTTTCCAAATTTTTAACTTTTTTAAAATTATTATTTTATTTTTTTTGTATTTGCATTATTGTTATTTCTCTGAAATCTTAACAGCTAAAAGAATTTGAAATGATTTTTAGAAGTGTACCCAAAACTTAAATCTATAGGCAGTACAACTGTATCTCCATTTTCACACGCGACACTGATATAAACAAACTGCAAATGGGCATCACTTTACCACGGAAAGTCTATTTTCAAAAATTAAACTGTTTTCAAACTGTTAAGGAAAATACATATTTTAAACAATATTTACACATGTACATGTAAAAAGGTATGTTTTTTACAAGCTATGTGTTTTACAAGCTGTTCAAAAAAGTCTGTTTTGGACCAAAAGCATCACAAATACAGCATCACAATAAGAAAAGAACCCCAAAATCACAAAGAGAAGTGGAATTTTCCCATTCTGTTTGTGGGAAGCAGTAAATTGAAATGAATAAACAAAGTGTAGCAATTTAAAGAAAAAAATTATACAATTTTATGCCACACAATCCCAGGCCTGTAGAATTACAATACAGATATTGTTAATTTACTGCATGTACATGTACATGTACCATCATGATCACTCATGCGGAAACACAAAGATTATGCAGTCAGAAATAGGCAATTAACTTTATAATAGGCAAAGTGTTATGTAACAGTTGTGTACATGTGGGTACATGTGCTCTTCACAGTCAGCTGGTAAACCATATCAAGCAGTGGTCAAAACAGTTTTTTTGATTAATAAGATGAGCCTCTCTTTGTGCCTGTAATACATGTACCTTGAGGAGCAGCTGTTGGATGTTTTTTTAACTCTTGTATCGACGGAACAAAAGTTGTAGTTCTTCAGTGACTTGGCATGGTTCAGCAAGGCAATTAAATGAATGTTGCAGCAGTTATGGATGCATGCGAACTGTTAAGAAATAACACACAACTTTGAGTGGATTTTTGGCACGAATGCTAAATGATATCGCAGATGTACTGATGCAGCCTTGTCGTAGGAAGATGTTAAGATTCTGGAGTTTGTGCAACTGATTGTCGGGAGTGAGTTTTGGAGCTACTGGTATCTTTGAATTTCTGGAGATTGTTCTTTGAGTACTTTAGAGAACACGTTTGCATAGAGATTCTACTTACAATTACGATGTAGCTTGGTGCTGGAAGTTTGCTAATTGATATTTCGGAAGGGCTGTTATCTCTCTTGCAGCATAGAGCAAGGAACAGATGCTTGCAGTTACACCAATCAGTAAAGAGTAAAGAGAACTTCAAGCATGACTGTGGTAAACTTTAGCCCTTGAACTTTCCCTCGGATCAGCTGATTTCCTGCATCCTTAATTATTTCCTATGCCAAGGACTGTGAAAGTGAAAAACAATAGTACTGGGATTTCAACATGGAATTTCCTTGTTTGTTTTTTACCTGATTCATATTTTCTTGCCATCACGGACAAACAGTAGTGTATTCTTGGACATGTTAGAAGGGGAATTTCCTGGGTTTTTTTCCCTGTGAGCACGGATCAACAATATTTGTGCAAGGTTCTAGTTGTTATTCATTCGGAGCAAGGATTTAGTGTGACTTGGCACAGCAGAGCTGAACGTGAGCGTGGAACACTAGTTCTTGCACTAATCTTTTTGTATTTTGAGCGGACATACGTGTAACCAACAAAAATCTCAGCGAACAAGAAAAGCGAAAGCTGGACTTTTGGCGCTGTCGCGATGGAGAAACCGTTCTACT